TGTTGTCTCAAATGGGACTAGATCAGTTTAGGAAACTTGGTCGACATGGATGCATTGGGCTGAAGGGTCTGTTCCTGTGCTGTATGCCTTTATGACTCTATCCCAATTTGGGGAAGCTTTTATTTTACAAAAGCAGATTCAATAGAAGTCACAAAATTACAGAAACATATTGCACAGTAGGTGGGTTAATCATTCAATGTCCTCTTGAATGCCTCAACTGAACCTGCCTTCTCCACACATCCAGGCAATAGTTTTCAGACTTGAAGCACTCATTTTGTGAAAACATTTCATCTCCATCACAGTCACTTCTTTTGTAAAACACTTTAAATTTTTCCCTTCTGATTCCTACTCCTTTGACAAGCTTCAATCTATCCTCATAACTGAAATTTCTCATCCCTGCAACCATTCTTGCAGATCACTTCTACACTTCTCCAAAGTGCTCACATCTTTCCTATAAAGTGATGCCCAGAACTGTACACAGTAATCCAGCTGAGTTCTCGCAAGTGTCCTATACAAATTGAACATCACTTCACGAACAAGAACAAAGTTGCTGGAAAAGCTCAGCAGGTCTGGCAGCATCAGTGAAGGAAAACACAGTGTTAATGCTTCGGGTCCGGTGGCCCTTCCTCAGAACATCACTTCCATGCTGTTGCATTTTCTGTACATATACACCCAGGTCCCTTTGCTCCTAAGCCCTCTTTAGAATTGAACCAATTATTTTTAACAGCCTTTCCATATTCTTCCCATTAAAATGTATCACCTCTTACTTCTCTGTATTGAACAATATCTGAGACCAATCCACCTATTCCATCTGCCTCTGTCTTTTTGAAGTTCTGCACTGTCCTTTTCATAGTTTACAATGAATTTTATGCCATGTGTGAACTTTGTCCCCTGCAGACCAAGATCTATATCATTAATATATATCAGGGAAATATATACTATCAGACTGTTCAATTGTTATCAGACTGTTGAATGGACTCTAGCCTCAAATAATGTAACCTGTATGCCTCTGAGCCTTTTTGATCTGTACATGCTTTGCTTGCTGTGGTCTGCAGGTACAGCTCGTAAACAAAGCTTTTTACTGTATTTCAGTATGCATGACAATAGAAATCAGTCAATCGAAAAACAAGTCATAGAGTTGTAGAGATGTAAAGCACGTAAACAGGCCCTTCATTCCAACTTGTCCATGCTGACCAGATATACTGAACTAATCTAGTCCCATTTGCCAGCATTTGGTCCATATCCCCCTAAACACATCTTATTCATATACCCATCCAGATGCCCTTTGAATGTTGTAATTGTACCAGCCTCCACCACTTCCTCTGGCAGCCCATTCCATACATACACCACTCTCTGCATGAAAAAGTTGCTCCTCAAGTCCCCCTGAGGAGGTCCACTACAAAGTTTAGTAATTTTGAAAAAGGAACTGGATAAATACTTGAATAGGAAAAGAAAATTAAGGGGATAGCAGGCAGGAAAATTGGAGCCAGACTGTGAAATCCTGAAGATTAGACTCCAAAGTTAACACTTTCTCTTGCCATACATGTTGCCAGATATGCTGAGTTTCTCCAGCACCCTCTGTTTTTAATAGGATAGCTCTGCTACCAGGATGGGTTGAACGTCGTCCTGCATCATTCTGTAATCAGCATTTAGAGAACTGGCGGAGGGTGATAAGCTGAACAATCTCTCTCTGCACTATGTGATACTATGCCAAGGCAGGTAACGATGGGGCAAATGGCCTTTTCTTCTGCGCGGTAGATCTCAATGACCCTGGGACTACAAGCGTGGAGGCAAGCCTCAGGGGTGATTTTGAAGAGAATTTGATAACACAAGTGAGCAGTCAATTTAAATGAAGCAAATGTCTTATCTGATATGTAATTGACTTGCGACAGACACACACTCCCTTGCAACCACAAGTTTAATTCAATTACTTTCCATGCAAATCACTCCAGCGTTTAGACATTTTTTGCACGGCAAACACCTATTACCAGTCTGATTGTATCATCCGAATATTTGTACAGAAGGCGAGTTATCTCAGTCTATAGCAGCATGTCTGTGTAAATGACTGGCAATAGGGCAAGAGTAGAGCGTCGATGGGAGACAAAGGTGTTGGAATTATGAGGAGGGCTCGTTGCAAATGGGGCACTGATTAAACACTGTTTGTTTCAGAGCAAATGTTGTAATCTCTCGCTAAATGGTAAAACAAACAAAGCCCATCTCGTTGCAGTCTACATTACAAAGCCGAGAAGAGAGGACTGCGTTAAGTAGATGGCATTGAGTATTATCTGCTAATTTCAGCATCGTCGGCGGAGGCCAGTACACAAACAGCCGAGCCCCCGTCTGATTTTCTTAAAGGGATAGCTCACACACTGTCAACTTGTGCAACAGCTAAGGGGAAGGGGATAGAATGAGCCAAAATCATTATTATTTGCTTTAAAAAATAGGCAAAATTCGAATGGAATCTTGAAAATGGAGAAGATTTTTAAAATTAGGCTTAGTTAGAGATAAAGATGAAAAATTGACTGTTTTGAGAAGTTACTGAGAACGTAACGCATTCCTGTATTTATCTGCAGTTTCAAATCGGTTCTGAATTAATCTAAAACAGAGAGATGGATATAATGCTACCCCAGAATTGGCTACCCTAGGCAATAGCAATTCCAGCTTTACATTCAAACATTTTTTCATTGCAGGTTTAATCTGCATCTTTGGATCTGATTATTATCATTTAATTAAAACGCATACATAGACGTATGGGCACACATCCTGATTTAGAAACAGAAATAGAGAGACACAGATGTACAAATGCACGCAGACACAGGCGCACAGATGCCTATATAAATATGTACAATCACAAACACATAGGTAAATACACAGGGACCGATATATGCATAGGAATATACACGCAGACGTACAAACGGTCACAAACACATGTTCATGTGCCGTGACATACATGGCATATGTGCATATACGCTGGCAGACATAAATGAACACAAAACTGTAAATTGACTGTACACAAACTGGCATTGACACACATACAACGTTTCTGTTTTTCTGTTCAATATTTCCGATTGTACTCTGTCTCACACAAGAGGGAGCTTTGAAACAATTGTAGGTCTCAGAATCTCTACACAAGGTAGTTACATCTGCTTTCTGAAGAGTTAACCCGTGCCTTCTGAAATCGTTTCACATCATCTATCTTCATGTTCAACCCTGCAGTTGTTTATGAATGGGTTCCAGCTTTGAGTTTATGATAAACTTCAGGCACAGTAAATCAGACACAACTAAACTAATTGCATTCCATATTTAATACAAAAAAAGCAAATTACAACATTTAAAAAGCATCAAGAATAGGAAGGGTTTAAAGGGATATGGGCCAAATGTTGGCAAATGGAACTAGGTCAGATTGGAGGAACAAATTACTGCAGATGCTGGAATCTGAACATCCGTGAATGCTGCCTGACCCGCTGTGTTCTCCAGCATTTTTTTGTTTTCAGGGTCAGTTTGGGATGTCTGGTCGGCGAGAATGAGTTGGACCGAAAGGTCTGTTTCCGTACTGTATGACTCTACAACTCTGTGTAATCCGGTTGCTGAGTCACTGAATCTTGGGTTTAGTCTGTGCCGTGTGTTTCAAACAAGATACGATTTGGGATCATAGGCCATCCTTTGTTTTCAGTGTTCTGTTTCACGATTTGTGCTCAGCCTATACTTGGGGGGCATTCACTGGAAGGACGCTACTTTCCTTGACCTAAAGAACTAATTAATTCTCGCTGAGTAGAGAACAAATCAAGGAGTGATCTTTTACTCAGTTGCAATTTTATTTTGGAAAACAGAACTGCACACCTTCCTGAAGATGCTTGCAAATCGCACAAATTGGTCCATCAGAAACACCTTGTGTTAGAAATGTATTAAACTTATGACTATACATTTAAAACGAGAAGAATAAACAATGTTTTAGAATTTGTACGAGAGCCAAATGCGGAGGCTGGGAATCTGAAATTAAGAAAACAGAAGTTGCTGGAGAAACTCAGCAGGGTCTGGCAGCGAGTTGTGCAAAGAGAGGTAGAGTTAGCGTTCCCAGTCGTGTAACCCTTACAGCATTAATTCTGTTTCTTTCTCTCTCACACAGATACGGCCAGACCCACTTGACTTCTCCAGTAATTGTTGCTTTTGTTTCAGGTTTCTAACATCCGCATTTCTTTGTTTTATTCTATTGTTTTTATTTGTTAGTTTTGAAATAACTTTGCCAAGAGGATATAAATATAATCTTAAAAGTCTTAAAAACACACACAACTCACGTAAGACTTTAACGTCCAAAAGTTGTATACAAACAACATGCACACGAAGAAAAAGACAAAGACACACAAGAAAATTTGCCTAAATGCTTTTGAATCTACTGCCGGGCTGATCTTTCGAGTTCTGCCCCTTTTTTTTAAAAGAAGAAGAAAATATCCTGGTAAGTTTACTGTCTGTGATAGGGCTTATCGAAGGCACAAATCAAAACACAAGTGGAGTTACCTCCCCTCCGACAAATGGGTTAATGGGTTTCTCCCAGCCTCGCACGCTGAGACAGTTTCTGTGAACGTCTGTGTATTTATTAGTTGCCAGGTTCCTTCCCAGGTTCGGATGCTATTTTGAAGCCCGCGGTCTGGACAGTGAAGTTGGCTGAGTCAAGGAAAAGGAAGATTTAAGAGAGAGAGAGAGAGAGAAAAGCAACGCGCGCACACATACACGCAAACATATTCCTAGAACATCTAAATGTCAATGTTAGGCCGTCTTAGTCATTTACAGGTTGGTGGCTCCGAACGGTTTAAGGGGTATAGGACTTTGGGCTAGATTGTGGGCTGTTACTGGAGCTAACTCAGGGCAAACCCTTGGACTAGTTAAAGGGAACTCTCTCTCTCTTTTACACACACACACACAGACAGACACACGCACACACAACATACACAGGTTGGCAATCCATCGCTTCTGTGTGGACAAATATTTACCTATTTGTTTGGATTGCTTATAATTCTCTCCACTTAGCTGCAGTCAGCCTACGATTTTAACTGGGGATTCAGAGAATGCGTGTTTGTGGCTTGAACCTCTGAACAAAGTGGTTTCTCAAAGGGTCTTCTCCGTTTATCACACGCGCCGGTGGGAAAAATAGAGAGAGACAGACGGAGGAGAGAAAACAGTTTCCGAAATTTTGTATTTACGAAAACAAAAGTGGGATTACCTTTTCCACCAGCCGCACCGCACCCCCACCCCCCATCCCCCAGGGCATTCCCCCAATCCAGCTTCTTGAACCTAAAACCTGTTTCTTCCGACTTCCATTCGGAGATTTCACCTCAAAGATGTCTCCTCTGACTTCAAGAGTGTTATACATGTAAGTTTAAACATTTTTACCTGTTTCACCGTGTTGTACAAGATTCACTGAAACAATTTCGTTACCTGAGCTGAATTTCTCTCTAAGGAAATGTTCCACTTACTGAATACATGTTCTGTTTCCCCCCTCTCTGTGCCTGCAGATGCCTGAATTTACTGACTCTGTATTCCCAAGTCCAGGTGAGAGATGGCATTTAATATTTATTCTCTATGTAAGTATGTACATATCCGCATTGTTGCATATGTTAACGCCCTTCCCCACATCCTATTTAAGTTGTTATTTTAAAGCTGCGTAATATTAATCAGGAACTCAGCGCGTTGAAAGGGCATTAGTTATTAATGCAACTGTACTATCGCTTTTAGTAACTTATGAGTGTGATTGTAACCGGCTTTTGTTAAAGCGTATATCAATTCCCGTGGCATTTCGGTTCTGAACTGCTTTGGCAGAATGTTTGAACGTACTGCAGGTACGTTACATTGCTGTGGAGTTGTGCAGACTTTTAAGTTTTCAATCCAGCTTTTCCCGACACGAAATGAAGGTCCCTTTAAAACGAAGGCAGGCTATTTCTGGTGTGAATTTCAGCCGCAGGAGGGATGCATGCGGGTGGACTGCACTCGGATCTGAGACTGCAAGAGGTTGCTGGGGTCGGGAAACAAAAGTGTTGAAAGCGTGCATGGCACTAACACCGCTCAAGACTCGCAGATCACAGACATACAAACTCATACCTAGATGCACAGCCGTGCATATAAATGCCCTAGTGGACTCTCACATTCACACGGCACCAGCACCAAACAGGTGAACACAAACCTCCCACACACAGAGACCAAAAGACAAGCAAAATGTGTAAATGGTACAACACGCACACGCTGTCATATTTACAAACACATTCGAACATATTAAACAAACACACAGACATGACAATAAAGCAAAAATACTGGTTGATGCTGGAAGTTAACAGAAAATGCTGGGGAAAACTCAGCAGGTCTGGCAGTATTGGTGGACGGAGAGTTAGATTTAGAGTCTTTTTTTAGAGTCTTGTATGACTTCTTCAGAATTGACGAGTGATTTCAGACTTCAAACATTGATTCTATTTCTCTCTTCACAAGTTGAATTTCTCCAGCACAATTGTTTTTAATATTTTAGACATAACAAACACAGTCAAAAGCAAACATTTCATGAACTTTGAAGTAGATGCTGCACATCATACTAAACACTGCATACAGATACAGACAGAGGCAGCAGTATAAACATAAATACTAACTCAAACATATTCAATGATTTACATATGGACACTAAGCACACACAGAAACATAATACCATTTACAGAGACAAAGACAGATGTACCAACACATACACAAATGCACACACAAAATACAAACATACAGGCAGGAACATTTGTGAATATGATGCACAGCCATGCAAATCCTTGCTAAAGAAGAAAATATAATCTGAAAATAAATAGAAGCTATCCTGTGGGCAAGTAAGAGTTAAACCATTAGGTGGCTTAGAAAAGAAGGCTCCTTGGTTTCTCACACCCCCAGTGGGCAGAGGTAGAAGCAGAGAGTAATGTTGCTTTTATACATTTCCTGAGTTTGGCTGAATTCTCTTTTATTGATCTTGAATGTTGACCTCGAAAATGTGAGTTGTCAAATGTCACTCATCTTGAGGATTGGAGTAGGATCATGCTTCCCACTGAGTCATTCTGTATGTTACAGCTGAGAGCAGGGTGAACAATGCTGTCTCCCAGCACCCGAACATAAAAGAGATTGGCTCCCAAAACAGGACCAAAAACAAGAGAACTTAATAGTCTCCTTAGAGTTAAATATCCTAAAGTAAGGGGTACTCCACTTAAGACAGTGTTACACAGCACATAGCACAGTACGGCACAGGAATAGGCCCATTGGTCCATTTTATCTGTACTGACCACGATGCCATTCTAAACAAATCCCATCTGCCTGCACATGATCCATATCCCTCTATTCCCTGCCTATTCATAAGTCTGTCTCAATGCCTCCTAAATATTGCTAATGTATCTGCTTCCACCACCTCCCCTGGCAGCATGTTCTACTACCCTCTGTATAAAATAACTGCTCACATATCTCCTTTAAACTTTCCACCTTTTACCTTAAATCTAAGCCCCTAGTATTTGACATCTCCATCCTAGGAGAGAGAGCCCAATTATCCACCCTAACCATGCCTCTCATAATTTTATCTCCTTCCATCAAGGTCACCCCTCAGGTTTTTGGTGTTGAAGATAACTTCTTTCTTTCAGAGGATCTTTAGACTTTGGAACTCTCTTCCCCACATGTGGAGGCAGGGTCAGTGAGTAAATATTTTTAAGGCAGAGTAAGATAAATTCTTGACTAACAAGGGAGTCAAAGGATATTGTGGAGCTGAGGCCACAGTCAGATCAGGAATGATCTTATGGAATGGCAGAGCAGACTTCCGGGGCCGAAACACTGAATCCTGCTTGTAACAAAAGCAGAAATGGCAGGAGAAACTCAGCAGGTCTGACATCATCCGTGGGAAAAAGCAGAGTTAACATTTTGAATCCAGTGACACTTCCGCTGTTTGCATGTTTGTCTGTTCATGAGGTGCTTTGGAAGAGCATTATCAGATGTAAGAGATAATACTTCAGTCAAAGACATAGACTAATGGCTGCTGGTACTGGAAATCTGAAATAAAACCAGACAATGTGAGGCATGCTTACCAGGTCGAACATGGAAAATGAAACAAAGTTAGCATTTCAAATCAATAACCTTTCACCTGATCTGGAAAATCCATTTTCTGACTGGTGAAAGGCCCTCAACCTGAATTATTAACTCAACCTTGTTACACAGGTAAATTTTAAATAGTGTGTGTTACAGGAAGGCAGGGAGATATTGAGACAGAAATGTGCAAGGTGTGATGTGCATTTTGCTTCATGGGACATGGACTTTGCTGGCTATGCCAGCATTGATTGCCCAGTCCCAAATGCTATAAGTATAATGTTGGTGAGCTGTCCTCTTGAACCATTGCAGTCTAAGGGTGTGTGTGTGTGTGTGTGTGTGTGTGGTGCTGGTGCGATGTTGCAGGTACACTCCCAATGCAGTTAGGGAGGAATTTGGACCCAGCAAAAGTGAATGAACGGTGATACAGTTCCACATCATAGAACCCCTACAGTGTGGAAACAGGCCTTTTGGCCCAACAAGCCCACACCAACCCTCAGAGCATCCCACTCAGACCCATCCCCTATAGCCCACCTAATCTGCACATCCCTGAACACTACATGCAATTTAGCATGGCCAATCCACCTACCCTGCATAGGCAATCCAGGCAATCATTTTGTTGGGATTACAGTACAGGCCTCTTAACAGTCAAAGGAAGGTAAAGGAACAGATATGTATTTGATTTGATTTATTATTGTCACAGTGAAAAGTATTGTTAACCAGACAAATCGTACCTTATATAAGTACATCAGGGTAATAGAGCAGAATGCAGAATATAGTGTTACAGCTACAGAGAAGGTGCAGAAAAAGATTAACTCTAATATATGAGAGGTCCATTCATAAGTCTGATAACAGCGGGGTAGAAGCTGTTGGTATGTGTTTTCAAACTTTCGTATTTTCTGCCCAATTGAAAAAGGTGGAAGAGAGTATAACTGGGGTGGGAGGGGTCTTTGTTGGCTTTCCCGAGACAGTAGGAAGTGTAGACGGAGTCAATGGATGAAAGGCTGGTTTTCGTGATGGACTGGGCTGTGTTCACAACTCTCTGTAATTTCTTGTGGTCTTGGACAGAGCAGTTGCCGTACCAAGCTGTGATGCATCCAGATAGGATGCTTTCTATGGTGCATCTATAAATCATAGAGAGGTGTGAGAGGATCAGAGTTATAGTTGTAAGGAATTTCAACTTTACTAACATAAACTGGGATTGCCTTAGTGTGAAAGGAATAGATGGGGTGAAAATTATATCAGGCATCCAGGAGAGCTTAGTGTGCAAGTATGAAGATAGTCATTCTCAAAATGGGGCAGTGTGAGATTTAATCCAAGGGAATGAAGCCAGTCAAGTGGTTGCAGTTTCAGTGGGTGAGCATTTTGGGGATTGTGAGATTAACTCTGTAAGTTCCAAAGTCATTATGGAAAGGGATATGATAGTGCAGAAGTTAAGTGTCTAATTTGGGGGAAGGTCAATTTCAATATCATTAGACAGGATTTGGCAAACATAGACTGGGAGCAGTTGCTTGCAGGTAGGTCTACATTTGGAAAGTGAGAGTCTCTTAAACGTAACATTGTGAAAGTTCAGTTCCTGCCTGTTCCTCTAAGAGTGAAGGACAAGGACAGCATGTCCATGAAACCTGGATGTGATGTAGGGCAGTTTGACATAATATTGGTTAGGTGCTAGCTGACTTTTCTATGAGGAGGCTGGTTGGGCTAGGTTGGAGGATACTGCAAGAAGTATACATCTCATTAAATTCACTTTCATTCTCACAGGTGCAAAATTCGTTCAGTGATAGGAAACAGAAGGTAATAGTGGGTTTTCTTTTGGGGTTGGAGAAAGGTTTATAGTGGTGTTCTTTAGAGGTCAGTATTCACACCCTTGCTTTGCCTGATGTAAGTAGATGATCTGGTTCTTAGTGTGCAGGGCACAATTTCAAAGTTTTTAGATAACACAGAAATTTGGAGCATTGCAAGCTGTGTAGATGTGACTGAGTGGCTTAGTGGTTACCACTGCTGCCTCACAACTCCAGGAACCCCGGGTTCAATTCCACTCTTGGGTGTCTGTTTGTGTGGAGTTTGCATATTCTCCCCATCTGCGTGGGTTTCCTCCGGGTGCTCCGGTTTCCTTTCACAGTCCAAAGATGTGCAGGTGGATAAGGCATGGGAATTGTTGTGTTACGGGGGTGGGGGGAGGCTGGTGGGATACTGTTCAGAGGGTTGTTGTGGACTGCTTCCACAGTGTAGGGATTCTATAAACTCCAAAAGGACGTTGACAGGTCAGTGGAGTGGGAAGACTTACAGGTGACAGATGAACTGAAGTTCAGTGTGGAGAAATGTGAGATGATGCACTTTGGTACAAAAGGCATGGAGAGACAGTACACAATAAATGTTGCTATTCTAAATGGTACTAAAGAGCATAGAAATGGGGTGTATATGTAAATTAATCGTTTAGGCAGAGAGAGCTGTTATTAAAGCATTAAAGT